TGCGTTCTCTTCCTCCACCCCAGGCAGGGATGCCTCTCTGGGTAAGCGCCGAACTTTTCACCCCCTGGTGATTCTTACTCCCAAGTTGTTGTATTGTTATTTCTGGTAGCCATATTAACCTTAACTGGTAATGCTAATGTAGTTAGTAAACTTATCAATGACAGTCTCAAATCTGTTCTGTTGCTCTCAATAAAGTAACTAATTTTGATTTTTTGTGAATTTGATTAGTAAAAGTCCTTTACTGCAGGGCAGGACCTTTGCTGGGACTCTGATAGTTAGTCCTTTGCTGGATCTCTGGGAGTCCTTTGCAGAGACTCTGATAAATGGGTCGGTGAAAGTCTCGAGGCTCTAACAGTCAAATCGAAACTACATTTTTTTTTTTAACACAACAGTAAAATTAATGTAGTCGGCAGGATTAGCATGGATAAACTGCTACAAAAATATAAATGTACACCATCCCAGGCAGGACTAGAATGGGCTCAGAAATTTTGGAAAAATGAAGAAAAAATAGTAGAGCAAATGGAACAGTGTGGGAGTGAACAGAGGGCTAAAGATGGTAAGGGTAAAGGAATTGTCTGCGCAATTTTAGACACTTGTTTATCGTGTGCGCAGAAGGAGACTAAGGAATCCCCGCCTCCTGGATGAATTGCAGATGTGGAGTATGCTGCTCTAAAGTCATACAATGAGGTGTTACAGAAATCACTAAATTTTGAAGGAGAACAATTAGAAACATGAGTACATACTCTCCTAATAGGAAATGCAAAGTTTAAAAAGGAAAATGAGATTCTTAGAATGCTATTGTTTGCTGTTGATAAACAGTCAATAGAAAGTCTGTGTCAGGAAAAGTTGTGCTCTATGCTGTGATCAGTGCCAACGCCTGGCAATTCCATGGCACAGATCTGCAAAATTGTTCAGCATGCTAACCCTGAAAACACGGGGTAGAGATATATGGGATGATGATGACAACTATGATGAACCAGAGGAGGGTTCCAATTACGATTATACCCCAGGACCTGTATCTCATTAAAGGTGAGGTCACAAATGAGGAGAGGAACAATGTTCGTACCACCAGGCAGACTGTCCTGTGGCCTCCTACTGACTTAGCCAAGCTGTGGGAAAAATACACCTGGCTCCCAGGGGAGTCTGTGGCAGAATACGTGTGGAATGTTCCCCTCACAGGAGGGCATAGCATTTTGTTAAGTGAAGAAGAAGCAGGAGGGTACTGGAGTCCTGGAGTATTTTTAACCTTCGTGTGATCATAATTACTCACTGACCACATGGGCTGCTTTTTGGGCTGGCGGTATTTACTCACAAGATAAGAGAGACCCTCATGTGATAAAGACCTCGGGGTTTGCTGACTTGACTGCATCTGTGCAAAAGGCAGCCTGTATACAGGCAGTGCATGAGTGGAACTTGTTAAGGCGATCCCCAAGGTCAGCCCCTATTGATCGGGCTAGATTAATTCCCCTTATCCTTGGACTGCCAGATAGTCTAAAGATGTATGTGGGAAATGTACAAGATCACATATAAGCCACCTGCAATGTTGGACAACGCAGTGGTGCATGACAGAGAGGACAGGCAGAACAGGCTTGGGGGAATTTTGTGCAAGACTTGGTAGATTATGGATGCAGGATGGTCTGGGTTGGCTCAACTGTTGAGAGGCCCCATGATCACCGCCCTTGCCAAGTCTGTCAAGTCTGTACTCCTAAGCCAAAACCAGAGGTCAAACTTAGGACTGATAAGGAGTGCAATGAGCTCTGACAACAGGCTGTGAGGATGGGAGTTTCTCTGAGGTTGTTCTATGGCTCGTCCACTGCTGATCTCTGAGATCTAGTAAAACTGCTGGTCCAGGAGTATTGATTCACTAAAGAGAGATCAGCCACCAGGGAAGCTGGTAGCCCCTGACAAACCCACACCCTCAGCACCACTGATGAATTTGATTAATATGAAAGAGATGCTGCAAAAAAATGTATGTCCTCTGGGAGGACAGTGAGCCACTCTGCCCAGAGGATGTTAGCTATGCAGTGGCTCCAGTTATGCAACGGAGCCAATTATTGCCATACCAGTGGGACCCTAGAGAGATTTTGTGGGTTTTCTTATTGATACTGACACCCAGATATCAGTGATTACTAAGACGACCACAAAACACATAAATATCAAACCTAGTCGTCGCAAGATAAAATTCACAGGAATTGATGGGATCATAAGGGAATGCCCCACAGCAAAGATCACTTTATGGCTCCCAGGAGAAGATCAACTGACTTGAGCTGAAGTATTGGTGGGTACAGCAAATACTAACATACTGGGATTTGATTTATTATTTGGCAGAATATGGAAACTCCCTGATGTCTCAGTTAGGAGCTTCACGGAGCAAAGTAACACAGGAGGGGATGAGGCAAAAAGTATAAATTTATTAGAGTTGTCTATTCCCTTACCACTATCAAAATTTACCAGTGTGAAACAATACCCACTGCTCGCAACCATACAGTCAGACATTGATGGGGTGGTAGTAGACTTGAAAAAAAGATATTGTCACTCACACTTACTCCCCATGTAATTCTCCTGTCTGGCCAGTAAAAAAGGCAAATAGACAGTGGTGCCTTAAAATTGATTATAGGCGATTAAATGCCAATACTGTACCTTTAACTGCTGCTGTACCAAATAGTGCAGAGTTAGCAACCCAAATCCAGGGAGCATCTCACACCTGGATGGCTAACCCTAGATATAAAGGATATGACTTTTATGATTCCACTACAGGAATGTGACAAAACTAAATTTGCTTTTACTTGGGAAGGGGTACAGTATACCTTTAGCAGACTGCCCTAGGGCTATAAGCATTCCCCCATTATTGCTCATAATGCCTTGGCGAAGGTTTTAGCAGAAATTTCTAGCCCACTGAGCACTACTACCTGTCAATATTTCAATGACATACTAATAGGGGGAGACAATTTAGAGGAAGTCAGGCACACTCTAGAAGGTGTGTGAGAAAAATTAATAACTCAAGGACGAGACATTCCTTTGTCTAAGTGTCCTTCCCAGGAGGTTAAGTTTTTAGGGTTCTGGTGGATAAAAGGAGCTGCTTCTCTTCCCCGAGACACATGGGAGAAAATAGATCATGGGCAGTAACCATCTAATAGAAATGAGCTACAGCAGCTTCTGGGGACTCTGAGTTACTGGTGCAAACATGTCCCTGGTTTTTCTATTATTGCGCACCTGTTGAATAACCTAGTGAGAAAAGGAAAGAAATGGGAATGGACTGAACAGCAGGCAAAGACACTGAAGACCTTGGTCAGACAATTAAGGTTGTTTCAGCAGCTAGGCCCAGTACATCTCTCTGATCCCATTTCATGTGGAATGGGGATTCAGTAAGCATGGTTCTCTTTGTAATTTGTGGCAGAAAAAACCAGATGGGCCTGAGAGGCCATTGGAATTCAGCTCTCGTGCTTTTAATGATACTGAAATGTGATATTTGGATCTCAAAAAGGGCCTATTATGCTTAGTATGAGCAGTAGAACGAGCTGAATGCAACAGGAGAGACCAGAAGGTCATTATCAGGGGCCCCTTTTGCCTGTTGGACCTAGTTCATAAGGGTACAGCGCCACCAGCAGGTGTTGTCCAGAAACCTACCATCCATAAGTGATATGCCTGTTTGGAAGGTATCAACGAGGTAATGCCTATCACGGAAGACAGTGTTAATTTATCTAAATTACAGAAGGATACAGATAGCACTTTACTATTCCAAACCCCACAAAATAAGATGTCTCCAGTACAAGAGGCACCATGCCTGGGAGAAGGTAGCAACCTTCTGTGAACCTGTGTGGTTCACAGGTGCAACATCCTATAGGCAGAACAATGAGTGGAATTGTAAGGCTGTGGCATTGGAAGTGACTACAGGGGAAAGGCTGAGTGAGGAAGGTAAGGGAAGTGCACAGGTGGGGAGACTTAGAGCAGTTCTGCTAGCCACACAGCATGGTGCTAGCCATATCTATACCGACTCAGATGCTATTTTCAAAGGGGCCACACAGTGGATAGGTCATTGAGCAGCTGACGATTGGTAGGTAAATAGAGTCCCAGTCTCACAAACTGACAGCTGACTGACTGACTGATAAATATCGAAACTACGTTCCCTTTTACACAACAGAATCAAACTGGCTGCTCTTGCAGCAAACAGATGGCAATGTGATATGTAGTTGTTGCCCTGTGGTCTCCTAAGTGGTTGGTTTGCATGCTCATAGTGAACTGCATGCTCTCTATATGTCTCTTGTACATGAGGTATGGACTTGGAGCAGGTTTAGCCTTTGGTGAGTTTTAAGGAGAACTGCTCATCTCCTTAAGCTTATCTTGCTCTGTTTTAGAGTTTTCCGGATCTTTTGGTTGGCTATTTGCAGTTTGCTCTTCGTTTGCTCTCACATAAGCCCCAGGCTAGCAGACAATACTAATAGCATTTATTCAGAGTTCTGTAAATACAGCTAAGAGAAGTTGAGATGACATTTGGGAAGGAATAGGCATGGATGCTGTATGTCTGAGGCTGAGCTCCTGAATGTTTTTTCTTTATGAACGAGATGGGGAAAGTTTGATTTGATGAAGAAATGTGTGATGTTTTAAGTCCGAGGTTATTTATGTTAAAAAGATTCCTCTTGACAGCCATGTGGTGTTGCAGGTATCATCTCAGTGCTACAGAGTAATTTTCAGATCTGCTATACTAAAAGTTTTGTATCCTATTACAACCTGTAAGCAGCTGTATTTGAGGTCCACCAGTGTCCAGTGAATGAAAGGTCTCCTGCTTCCTCTATTCCATGTAACATCTGTTATCCTCACTTGTATGAAGATTGAATGACATGAAAGAGAAACTTTGACACAAATTTTCCTTTGTTATGCTGCAACTTAATGTGCATGGATTTCCAAATTTATGTATGACTACAGGAACTTCGTTAATGTGTCTGCAAGCTATTAAGAAGCTCAATGGGTTTGTTCTGTGGTTTTTTTTCTCTCTCATTAAGGGTGGTAGGCATGTTGATTACGTGGTGGATCAGGTTGTGGGCAAACTGATAGAAGTTGTGAAAAAGAAGAATAAAGCTGGAGTTTCAGTGAAACCATTTCAGGCAAGTGACTTTACCACATTGACCTTTTTCAATATTTTTGTATAATTTTCTTGAGTAAATTGGTTTCTATGTTTTCAACAGGTGAAGAATCATATATGGGTTTTTGTTAATTGCTTGATTGAAAACCCATCATTTGATTCCCAGACAAAGGAAAACATGACATTGCAGCCTAAAAGTTTTGGGTCCAAGTGCCAGCTATCTGAGAAATTTTTTAAAGCAGTAAGTAAAGCATATTTCTCTTTTTTTCTGTGCAGCAGGAAGTGACATGCTGGATGTAGTGTATGTATGTTATGTAGTAGAAGATTAATTAATGTATTATGATACACTAGTGACACTAGCATACTATGAAAATGGGATGAGCTACACCTTATCAGCTCCTTTGTTGGAGATTCTGATATTTATATTAGTGAAATGAATTTGACTCTTAAAACCTAAACATAGGCCTTGACTATATTTTTGTGTTAAAATTTTTTTTCCGAGGTTGAGAATATTGTCTACTTTCCAGTACTCAAGGAAATGCAAAATTGTGACTACAGTATTCAAAATTATTATTTTCAGGCAACGAGTTTAGAAATCTTGGCTGTAGACAGGCTAAGAATCGCTACTCTAAATGAATGTATTAGTAGAAATAAAAGGTAGAGTTTTTTCCTGTAGTACACTTTTATAGAAGAAAGGAAAAGTAGAATTCTGTTAGCCAGAACTCATTATATGAAGTCTGATTCGGTGCCAATAGCATAAATGGAAGTCCAGTAGTAAGGAGAATGGTGCCACTGCTAATGCTAATGTTTTGTTCTAATTCTGTGTTAGCGGTGATGTCTTCTAGGACCTAGAGGAAAAAATAAAAGAACTCAATACTGTATTAATTCTTCAGATTCGGTTACAGTTGTTGTGTTTCTATCAGTAAGTTTGACTAAAAATGTTTCTAACATTCCCAGAAGTGAACACTGATCTCCAAGTGTTAAGCATGCAGCATCTCTAGCCAACGAGTGCTCCATTTATTATGGAGGATAATGAGAGGCCAAAGCTTGCAGTATTTTACTCCACCTGTATTATTTTTTTGATGTGAAACCAAACATAAAGCAGTTTTACTTTAGAAAATGTTATTTTTGCTGGAGAGGTGTTTCTTAAAATACTGCTGGTTTCTCAGGTTGCTGATATAGAGCCTTATACTGAAATGCTTTTGGTTGTTTTTCAGCCATTTTCAGGCATTGCCAAAGAAACTTTAAATGAACATTAATATCTTGTAAGGTTACTTTTTGCTTTCATAGTCCAGGAAGCAGATGCTTAGTACTTAAAATGTCCCAGAACATCAACCACCCAACATAAGACAGCCTCTTACTAGGTCTCAGTCCTCTTTTCCTCCTTCCACCAGTTATATGGGGGGTGGAAAAAAAAGCTATGTGAGAGTTGTGTTTTGCTTTTGTGTGCATAAAGTGCTAGACAGGAAGGTATGTGTTAATTCATTGACTTTTTATATGTTGCAGTTTTTAATATTGAGGGCTTTAAGAAACAGTGTTAATCAGTGACTTAAAATTGAGAGATAACAATCTGATACGTGAAGCATTACTTTTCTCATCCACAATTCTGATCTTTTGCTTACAGGCCTCTAACTGTGGTATCATAGAGAGTATTTTAAATTGGGTCAAATTTAAGGCACAAACTCAGCTGAACAAAAAGTGTTCATCAGTGAAACACAGCAAAATCAAGGGCATACCAAAACTGGATGATGCTAATGATGCTGGTAAGAGCGCTTATTTTTAACGTCTTTAATGTTTCGTACATCTTTCACAGACATCGTAATTTTAAACCTGACTTTACTTTTCATCCCTATGTGTATTTTAAAATAAAAATTATACTAGACTTTTAAACTTTCTAGATCTAGAATTACAGCATGGTGGTGAGTTTGATATTAGGAACACTGTCCTCTCTAGGGTAGAGAATAACTCTGAACAAAAGTGACACTCTAGTTTTGTATTGAAAGTGTGTGTACTTTCTAATTGTGATTTCCAGCCAGATAATCTTACCAATATTCTACTTTGGAGGCAACTAGTCTTCTTGGCCTTTCTAATATAAAAAGATCAGAATCTTGTAGGCTCACAAGCTATAGGAAGTAGATTACAGTTTGCAGACCTGAGGGAATGGTTCAGGAGATTTTTCTTCGTGAAATGTTAAATGCCATTAGGTTCCTGTCTGGGGATATAGGGCAAACTGGCAATCTCTGCTGTCCAGTTTCCTAGCACAGCTAGGAATGAGGAGCAGCTGGCAATCTTTGTGCCAATAGCAATGGGATGGGAGTTGTCCCTGGGTTATTTGAGGGGCACTTATGACTAATGAGCCAGTTGTTGCCAGTCTGTGTTAATGTTAGTTGATTTTTAATACATTCTTACATTAAGCAATGAGGTAGGTGGGTGGGTTAAGTAGGTAAAAGCATGTAAGACTGATAGAGAGGCTTTTTTTGTTGTTGAGTTCCAGTGCCTGAGTGAAAAATGTCTTGATGAGTTGATGCGTTCTTTTTTTCTCCCTTTCTTTTTGATTCCTTGAGCTCAGGTTATTAATTTTTCAATGAAGTTTTCTTCAGTATTTTATTACTCTTGTGATTCAGAAGTGATGTTTTGCTTCAAAAATTTATAATCATGTCTCCTTTATAACCATGTCTTCTTTTGATTATGGAATTTGTATTCCATAATCAGATGCACGTTCATGGTATTTTTCATGTTGAGAAGATTGTGTACTTGGAGAAATGCTGTGTTTTTATGGATATCAAGCATCACAGAATCATAGAATGGCCGAGGCTGGAAGGGACCTTAGAGATCAAGCCTAATGCTCAAAAATAGCACAATGAATGATGTTGAAAACACTTTCTTCTTTTTCTTTTTCTTTTTCTTTTTTTTTTTAAGCTGTGTTTTGGAGACCAGGCTTCAAAATCACTTCTTACTCAGGTTTTCTTTTTGTTTCACTGGAAGTGAGGAGAGTAAAGAACCTCTAACAGGGGAGCTAATAAAATATGGCTTTTTCTTTCACCCTGAACCTTCCTCATAAGAAGGCACATAGGAATTCATTTGGGCTCAACACTGATGCTTAGTTTTGTACTGCATAGATCCCTATTACCCAAATGCTTCTCTACCGCCTGGTTTTTCTTATATGGGGAGCGGGAGCTCTGCGTCTTCCAGTGAGATTTATCCAGGTATTGGTTTATTGAAGATCTGGAACATACTAGATTTCTCACGTTGAAGGTGTTGCACGTTTGGGTTGGATACCAGGAAGGCAGAGAGGCATGCAGTTTCTGAATGCAGCGTGTGTTGTCATATGCACACTTGGCCTGTCTTTATGAAGTGATATATATACTGGAGAGATGTTTTAAATCTAAAGGTCACAAGTAATACATGTAAAAATTTCTTTAGTCATTTCTTTTTAAGGACCATGTGTACCATATGGATCATCTGTTTGCTCTTGAAAATCCATAGGACTTTTTGGTTCCTTTTGCACAAGAACTAAGCTAATACTGTAATCAGATTCTCTAACCTCAATAAAAAGCTGCTTTAATTGAGAAAGGGAAGGCAAAAGATGATACAGAAGAGTGACTCCTTCAGCGTAACTGTGTGTTCTGTATACTGCTCTTGAGAACTTGTCTCAGTGAATTTTAGTTGGTCACTGCATCTATCTGAGGGCTTGATATTTATTAACGTAAGCGGAAAAGGAAGTCCTGGTGGCGTGGAAATTTTTTGATGAGTACACAGACAAAACACTGTAAAACTATCAATTTTTCTGTCTTTGGGATTTTGATAGAAAAGACAGAGTCAGATGAAGTAAGGACTGTATGTGCTCTTTCTGTGTGTGAGAGGTGATGATCACTTCCTCTACATCCAAAAAATTTGACTCTTTGCTATATGAATGTTTGCTATGAATGTACGCATGACTAAGCATATCATGAAGGGTTAAACAGTTACGAATAGTCTTTTCAAAAGAATTTCAGAACTCCCTGAAAGCTGGATAAAGGTTTAACTGATGCACAAAGATACAGGGAGATTGCTTCAAGATGTTCATAATGTCACACAGAGGTTATCTGTAATCTGGCAGCAGCACACAATAGTCTGATTTGGTGTAGTTGTGTATCAAGACAAATAAATATTTCTAAGAATCCCAGGAATTACAATTACGTAAGCACTCCAAATCAGATAAGTGAACAAGGTTGGCTTTGGTTTCTAATAGGTGCCAGTAGTTGTTGGACTGAAGCAGTCCAGTGCAGCTAGGAGAGAATATAGTGTCTGGTTACAGACCCCTCTGGCTTTAATTTAATTTTAACTTTTACTTCAAGAGAGAATTTGCAGCTCGACTCCAGCATCCACTGGTTTCTTGGGTGCCACATACCACTGAATTTTTGAATGAGTACTGGTTAATACTTAGGAATAGGAGAGAGGTGTATCTGTACAGTGATGAACTTGCTGCAGATTTCCCCCCCGGCGAAAAGAATAAAGTACTGAGTTCTACACCTGGTCATTCTTGGTTTCTTGAGGTCTTGATGAGGTATCCATAGTTCTATGGCTTGTTAGAGAAGAGGAGGTAAAAAGGAATAAAAAATGAAGAATAAGTATGTAGGACTGCAAGGAAGCAGCTTGATAAAATAGCAAAACTACTTAATGAGCTTTTTCACCCTTGGAAAAGAGTGGATTCCTTTTTGTGAACCTGGTTATTATTTAGAGCATCTATTTGACTGTTGCAGTTACAATAAACAGAATACACGCATCATCCTTGTTTTAAGCACACTGGATGCACAGGCACTGAAATCGAGTATGTCTTGTAGAATCAAAATTATGGTTTAGTAATGATTTGTTTCTTCTGTTCGAGAAATTTCTGAGAATGTATAATAAGTTTAAATATTCTGATCTTTTGAGATTTTCTGTTAAGTTTTTCTTACATGGGCTGAGGCCAATGGACAAAAAAATAGAAACACCCCAAAATGTAATTTAATAAATTACTTCTGATAATATGCTATGAAGAAGGGAAATGCAGAATGGGAAAAAACTACTGTATATAACTCAGACATGCATAACGTGTGTAAGAAATTGTCAGCTAGAAAAATTAAATTGTAAAGGTGCAGAAGCAATGTGATGTGTGGGGAGGATTACATAAGATGCACCACCGTTGCATCCTATTTTACTCCATATCCATAGCAATCCAAAGTGTATTGCTAAGGGCAAGGATAGTCATTCTTACCGTGAAGTTTTAGTGGTATAGAGGGCCATCTCTAAAAATAGAAATTCAGCCTATTTAAATCATCTGACATGGAGTAGGAAGAATATTCATGTCTGATGCAATTACATTTCTGTTACTTGTGTTTAAAAGTTTAACTTTTTTTTGCCTCACTTCTTCCTGGACTGCAGGTGGCAAACATTCCTTGGACTGCACGTTAATATTAACAGAAGGGGACTCTGCCAAATCTTTAGCCGTCTCTGGCTTAGGTGTTATTGGTAGAGACAGATATGGAGTATTCCCACTCAGGGGTAAAATTCTCAATGTTCGAGAAGCTTCTCACAAACAGGTAGGTACTCTTGTTATCTCCCTTTAGCTGACAGATGGATATCTCCTGTTTATATTCAATTTCCGGAGTTTTTTTTTTTTTTTTTCATTAAAATCTTGTGGCTGAGGTTTCATAAAGCAGCAGCTACGTTAAAACCTGGGATAAGCCTAGAAATTCTAAAGTGTAGCAGTACAGTACTGGAATGATAAACTTCATTTCTTCACAAGTGCAAGGAGATTCTCTATGACATTTTATATGAATACTTAAAACCCCTAAAGTTTTATACTCTTCATTGCCATGTGATTTTATTCACTCTCTATGTGAGGCAGCAGCATTATCCCATCACATTACTTTTGCTGCCCTCTGCCCTTTATCTCTAGTAAGAGTTATGTTGCAGATGCCCATAGAAATAGTGTAAAGAGAAGATGCAAGATGACTTTTTGCTACATGCTTGTTTCTCCTTGCCTTCTGGACCCAAAGTGCTCTGGCTGCAGAGGAGAAAAAGAAATGGTGCAGCCTTGAGGATTTGTATGTACAGAAGAAATATTTGTAAGTGTGAAGGCTGCAAGGGGACTGGGGATAAAGAGGTTATGAAGTCCACCTAAAAAAGTTTGAGATATTTCTGAGATTCTGCTTTTTACACTGACTTCAAAGATAACTTTTTTAACAGATTATGGAAAATGCAGAAATCAACAACATCATCAAAATAGTTGGACTACAATACAAGAAAAGCTATGAAGATCCAGAATCTCTGAAAAGTTTGAGATATGGAAAAATTATGATCATGACAGATCAGGTTAGTCTGAAATTCATTGCTTTTAATATACAGAGCTTTTTAATATGTGTGTTGCTAGAATCTGATAGGTTGCATTTTTGTGCATTATAACTGCCTCTGTGCTATGACAATATGGATGTGTTCAGAGGGAATCCCTAATGTATGAGATTTCTTTATGGGAATAATTTATCCATATGTTGCTTTGGTTACTCCAAATGAATAAATAAACGTTGGTGTACAGTAGCAGAGTAGCCAAAGTAAAAATAAAAATATGTATACACAAGAATATTTTTAATAACTCAATAATATGTTGAAAGAAGAGTAAATGAGGTGATATTGCTAGATAGTCTGGGAGAGGCAACAATGCAGGCAATTACTCTTTGATAATCTCGTGAAGTGAGTGGCAGTTGTTCAGACTGAAGAAGTCAGGGAATCCTGGGCTTTGGATATTTGTGAAGCTTTGTTATGTTTTCCCCCGAGAGAGGCTGAACTCTCAAGCATTTTAACACCAATGAGAACTGTAGCTTGGCTTTCTTCCACAAAGATGCAGCTCCATGGTGTCCAGGAGAGCTGTCTAGCTCTCAGAGAAAACATCCCACAGGCAAAGAAACATCTGAGCTGCAGCTGTGCACTTGGCTTGGAAGAGCTTATTATTAGCTCGGGGACAGTGCCATGCTCAGGTGGATGTTTTATACCAAGGCCCAGTTTGGAATCCAAATTAAAACTAACTGTTCCCTGCACACGTTGTTTTTATGTATCCAGGCCAGTGAGTGGGTTTTTGCGGGGTTTTGGGGTAATCTGACATTTTGTAAGATTGCCTCATATTTTAATGTTCTGATTTAGGATCAGGATGGTTCTCACATAAAAGGCTTGTTGATCAATTTTATTCATCACAATTGGCCATCACTGTTGAAACATGGCTTTCTTGAGGAATTCATCACTCCTATTGTAAAGGTATGGGTTCTATTAATGAGATTTTATTTATTACTTACAGTGCAACAGAAAAGTTGATTAGTTTTTTTGGGTTTTTTGTTTGTTTTTTAAAGGCAAGCAAAAATAAGCAAGAACTTTCATTCTATAGTATTCCTGAATTTGATGAGTGGAAGAAACATATGGAGAATCATAAAGCATGGAAGATAAAATACTACAAAGGTTTGTTTAAAAACAAATAAATTAACCACATGGATCTAAAAATACATAATAGATGGGAGCTATGAAGTTTTATTTGTAACAGTTTCATGATGGTATTTTCTGTAGTGATTTTATAATATTCCTAGTAAAATAAAATTGGTAAAATAATAAAACTTGAATTTTGAATATGGACTAACTGTTTCTTTTTATTGTGCAGGTTTGGGTACCAGCACTGCTAAAGAAGCAAAAGAATATTTTGCTGACATGGAAAGACATCGGATCTTATTTCGATATGCTGGTCCTGAAGATGATGCTGCCATTACACTGGTAAGAACTTACAAAAGTATTTCTGTCTGATACCTTTTAGTTTCCATTGTTTACTGAAAATGACATATGAGGAAATCTTAACAGGTTGGAGGTTTTTTTAGTAACTGAGAAAAAATACTTTTGGAAGAGAAAGAATCTTTTGGAAAATATTTTAACTTTTGAAATAGCTTTTTCTGTGCTACAAAAATTAGTTCTACCTCAATTTTATGTGATGCAGATATCAAGAAATATTACATTCAGCCTTACTTTTAAAGACAGAACATGCAGAAGAGTATTCTCAGTAAGGCAACAGAGCCCAAAGAAATGATGTTTCACATCTATTTATGGGTGTGAATTTTGTTTCTGATCAAATAAGATCAGATAAATATTATTTATTCATTGAAGATATATCAGCATGATATGTGTATTCATGCATGTGTTCCACATTTGCATGTGAAATCTTTTAGATAGTTGTGTGCAGCCTGTTATGTCAAAGAGAGCCTGTGGAAGGATGAAGGATGGAGTGTCTGAAATTGAGCTGTTTACTCAATAAATGTTTCTCATTTTGTCATTTTAATTGTAGGCAAGAGTAGAACAAGGGACAGGAGAGAAAAAATAAAAATGGGAAAATACCCAACTTAGACAAAACAACTTTTTCTTTATATAACACCTTTCTCTGAACTCTCTGATTAAAATTCTGAGCTTTCTTTTTGTAAATAGGCCTTCATATAAATATAAGCTGATATCTGAGACAATATAACCTGTGTGGTGGTTTGACCGTGGCTAGTGGCCAGGTGCCCACACAGCTGTTCTGTCACCCCCACTTCTCTGCTAGACAGGGAGAGAAAATATATCAAAGGGCCCGTGGTTTGAGATGAGGACAGGGAGATCACCTGCATCTGCCGTTCTGGGCAAAACAGACTTGATTTTGGGGAAAATAGTTAAATTTATTAAAAGAACAAATCAGAGAAATGAGAAACAGAAAACAGATCTTAAAAATTAACACCTTCCCCCATCCCTTCCTTCCCTCTGGGCTTAATATCAATCTCGGTTTATCCATCTCCTCCCCCCGAGCGGTGCAGGGGACAGGGAATGGGGGTTGCGGTCAGTTC